TCACCCATTTCTCTCACATTTCAACCATAATCACTTCAATCAAAGTTTAATCCAACTATAACAACATAAATAATCTCAAATATAACAATATCTAAGGTTACTTTAACAAGAATAATCAAGATTCAAGTAAAATATTCCATGTGTGAGGGTAAACCCACTTTCTCTCTCTACAATACATAATAACATCCAAATACAAAAATCTACACCGATTAAAAGCTATAAAATGAAGAGAGGAAGTTAAACATGTAGAAAAATTGAAGAAAAACCAAAGGAGGTTTGAGATTGGACTATTTTACATACCTTGGAGCCTCTTTTCTCCTCTTTCTCTTCTTCCCTCTCTTCTTCTCTCTATTTGGGCGAAAATGAGCCCTAAAGGCTCCTCCAACACTTAAAACACTCCCCCAAATGTCAAAAGACCATCTTGCCCTTCATTAAAAATTAACCACAATTTAATCATAATTAATTTTTGGATAAATTTTGGGTACCCTAGGATATCTCCCAAATCTTTATTTTATAGTGTTTAGGAATTTAAAAGTGTTTAGGGGTCCTTGGAGGGGTTAAAAATACCAAAATTTCAAGAAAATGGGCAAAAACCCGTGTTTGGCGTGCTGTAATGCGGTCCAGCGCGTTGCAGCGGCCAAATTCCAGTGGCCACCGCGCTGTAGCGCGCCCGGGCCGCTATGGTGCGGTAAACCAGCGAGCACCGCACCGCGCCGCGCCTCGTTGCTACAGTACCGCCTCGTTGCTACAGTAACTTTTTTTTTTTTTTTTTAACAAAAACTTCATTTCTTCCAAAACTTCCAAAACACTTCTTACCTTCCCAAATTCCTCAAAATACCCTCTAAATAAAATAAAACTCAATCCAAAGTAGTTTAAGAACTTTCTTCTTTTCTTTTTTCTTTTTCTTCATTCTTTCATTTCTTTTTTTTTTTTTCTCTTGAATTGGTTTTGGGTGTTACAATTCGCACCTATATAGCCAATCTAAGGCAGTTGATTGTTACAGATTGGACCGAATTTGGCTTGAATTTTTCAAAATCTTTTAGCCGATAAACCTACTAAAACATTCCCCTTTTTCTTAATTTGGTCATCTAAGTTTTTATTTCCTTCAAAATGCTTGTCTGTATTTTCAATTCAACCCCCACACTCCAGCATTCTTTCCTTCCGGTCCTCTCTCTTTATTTCCTTTTAATCAGGCCCTTGAAAATTTCAACATTGAGACATAACTTTACCAATTTCTCATTTAAACCCTATTTTTTTAATTCATGCAATTAAGTCCCTAGCCTTTTTCAGTTAACCCTAGATCTATTCAATTTGTTCAATTAGGTCCTCAGCATCATAATTAAATTAATTTATAGTTAAATTAAAATAGATTTGGGGTTATTACATATAATTAAATATTTGATTCAGTATTACCTAATACCAAAAGTTATATATATATATATATATATTTATTTTAAACTTAACTTTTGATACAGTTCAGTTTAATACAGTTTTAAAGACCATGAACGCCTCTAATTCCCTATTTGTAAAAACAAATATATATATATATATATATTAGGATAAATAATATTTCACCCCTACAAATTTTAAGTTTTAGCATTATACATATAAAGGAGATGTTTTACAAATATTAAATTCACAATACTTACTCACAACCAATATTTTAGTAAAATATTATCAAAAATTATACTTTTAAATAATATAAATATCATTTCAAGTATAAATAATTGAACTTCTCCTGTTTTAATAATTTACAATTATTATTTATATATGAAATAATATTTATATCTTTTAAAAATATAATTTTTAAAAAATATTAAGTAAGGAAAATTTTTTATATATTTTTTAAAAATATAATATTAAAATTTAAATTTTTTAGAAATGAAGTGTTATTTAACCTCCCTTTTTATCTTAACTAACCTAAGGGCAGGGAAACGGAAGAGCGAGAAGTCCTGCTGGGATGCACGCTTGGGCTTGGAAGAGGAAGACTAAAGAAGAATGATAGCGGGCCTTGGGCCGAGAAGCATAGATCTGGCCCAGTTAGCCGGCGTACCTATATTCCTTCCCATTTATAAAAAAAAAAAAATTAAACTACGAGTTTAATGATAATAATAATGATAATAACAACAATAATAATAATTTAATATTAGACAGTAAGACTGGGTCTTTAAGGTGACTGGGAATCGGGAATTGACGGAGAAAATTCTAAGCAACTTTCAAGTGGCCACACCCACCAAATAGGCGAAGACTCTCTTTCCGTTGAGGTGGAAAGGTTTAACCTTCCTGACATCATGAAATATAATCGCACCCCTCGCTTGGTTGGTACCTAACAATTCATTCACACCACACCAATTTAATTATCCAATTTTTTTTTAAAAAAATTGAAACATGCATTGGCGTTAGGTAAGTGACACGTTGCAGGGTTAGTTTAGCAACCACTGATTGAGTATTTTAATTATCTTTAAATTTATTTTTCTTAATTCTTTTATTTCTTTTGTGAATTACGTGCAAATTGTTCTATAGTTTTTTTTTTTTATTTTGGGATTACCCGAGGAAGGAAAATACACAATTTGAATTATGCTCATGAAAGAAATAGTTTTTAATGTCTTTATTTATTAATTTATTCAGCCTTTGCTTGTGAAAGAAGAGTATATTTCTTTTTTATAAACTTTTTTTCTGATATATTAAAGATTTAAACGGGAAAACATAGGATTATAATTGTCAAAAATTAAAATTTTAATTTTTAAGTGAATTCTGCAAATATTCTATTATTTGAATTAAATTTTAAATTCTCCTTATCGTACACAAAATTTTAATATATTATTTGAAATTTTAAATAAATATCTTATATAAGACATTTTTTTATATATAAAATTATATATTTTATCACTTTTAACATTTTTTAATATTTATATCACGGAACTCACGTGAAGTTGGGCAAAAATGACGAGAATAAGATATAAGTAACGGCGTTTAACACTTAATAAATATATTTTTTAGGAAAAAAATAAAAATTTCATAAAAAATGATACTAAAACTAATACAGTGCCTCCGATGATAGATAAGTAAAGAAGATTGTTAACACTTAATAAATATATTTTTTAGAAAAAAATAATAATTTCATAAAAAATGGTACTAAAACTAATAAAGTGCCTCCGATAAGAGATAAGTAAAGAAGATTGTATGTATATTTATTTTGACAAAAATATTAAGAGTTAAAGTAGAAGAGAGTATTATAATTTCACATTGAACAAAGATAAGTATGATAATGGGATATAAACGATGAAATTATATATTTTAATAAGTATATTTTTTTAAACTAATGTAATAATTGTAAAACTTAAATTTTAACCCCCAAAAAATGTCTGAGAAGTGAGAAACCTTCACCCCCATCAATTGTAATGCGTTTGAATTGGGAGACATGAGAAGAAAAAATTTATTGGCGTTAGAAATTTGGAAGGCCTCTCATTAATGGCTACTTTGGACATGTGCCGTCTCTTTTATTCCACTTCATGCATTTGAAATTGACATTCAAACTAACACGATATTAAATTCATATTCCCTGTTTATTTTCTATTTGGGTATTTTTTAAATTACTATTAAATTAAAATAGCATCACAAATTAATTTTGTTTTTACCGTTGTAAGTCATAATCAATTGCCATTAGTTTTAATTAACTTTAAATGATGTGTTAATCATGTTTCTTCTCCCATCACACGCGCTAAAATTTTCACCCTTAACCCTCGTGTAAAAGCCTCCCGCTTTTATGCCGGGAGTTTTGGCTAGATCCTAAAAATTTACCTCCAATTTCATCATGTGCTGTAAAAAAAATTTAAAAAATTTGCAGTAAAAATGTTACAAAAAATAACAAATAAGTTAAATATTTTTATTATAACACAAATTTACAATTTATAAATAATTAAATAATAAAAGTTATTTCCTTAAATCTCATTTTTTCTAATCACACTTTATATTTAAACGACCTAAATAATTATATTTGTGACTGTATATAAAAAGAAAGTGCACAGAACTTATCTATAGTAGAAAAAATATTAAATATTAGACAAAATTTAGGGGTTGAATTAAAATTATTTTTTCAATTATCCTTATAATTATCATAGCTTATCTTTTTGTGCTTCATTAGTCCCTCTAAATTTAATAATTATAAGCACAAATTAATTGGGAGATGATTTATTTATTTTTCTTAATAAAGAGAGAGACGATGGTATTGTCCTTGACATTTTTAGTAATAAGTTAATCCGTGGCTTACTTAATCATTTTTATATTATTTTTCATTGAAATTGCCAAATTTAGTTACTAGTTATAAAGTGAAAGAATAGAAAGGTTAGTTCTACCTATTGTCCAAAATACTTGAGAAAATTAAATTAACTAAATATTAATTAAAATATAACTCTGATTTACAGGGATTAATTAGAAACACAATAAATATCTCGGTAGAAGAAAAAATCCCCTGAACTAATGGGGCAATTTGCAAATATTCAGGTCAGGGACACGGCAGCAAACGCATGACCCGAAATTCAAAATGAAAAAAACAGAAAAGTGAGGGTGTTTTAGTAATTATATGCCACCAGTCCAAACCTGCAAAACGTAGCATTCAAGCGAGAGCTGTCCCATCTGGAACGAAGTCTGAAAATACAAACTTGGCAACTCTATCTCTCTCCCCATTTCAGCCTCGGAACGAACAATTTATTACCGTTCAGTGACACTCCGCCTTCCTCACGGATTCACACTCTCGCCGTGATTCATATTTTTCCGTGGTCAAGTTTCTCTCTCTAGACCCTCTTTTCCTTCTCCTGCTTCGGTTTCTCTCTCCGCGCTACCTGCCTGGGCGAGCTGAACACTTACGATTTAACACTCATACTATTTATGTACGCAGTCGTTTATATGACTGTTTACATGTATATGTCTGGATGTGTCTTGCTTTAGCTTTATTATGCTGGTTGGAGAATGCGGCGAGAGCTGACTCGCGGAGAGAAAGCATGACCCCTGTTGAGTTAACTTGCCGCTTTTTGCTCTGAGCTTGAACGTGTTTGAACTTGATTTCAGATCTGGAGCGGTTGATTTTGATTTTGGAGATAGCTTCTGGTGCATTTGTTGTATGAGAGGTTGTTTTTGAAGAAGCGGACGAGAAATTAGGTTTTTTGGTTGGGTGTTTTGTGGTTTTGGTCGTTTGCGTGTTCTTAGAGTTCTGATTTGGGGATGAATCGAAGTTTTAGGGCACCGGACTCGCAAATGCAGGCTTCGACGAGGCAGAGGCCGCAGTTGGGAAGTTTGAGGACGTCGATGATGAAGGAAAAGGAGGAGGAGCTCGCTCTGTTTCTAGAGATGCGAAAACGGGAGAAGGAACGGAATAACCTTCTCCTTCAGAAGTCGGAAGATTTTGAAGCTCCACTTGGTATGAACTTGTTTAGTCCCCTATAGTTTCCTCTTCAGACTCTCTTGAAGTTCTGTTTGGATAAATTTGTTGTCGATTTTGCTTCGTAGTTAATTTTTAGTTAAATGTGAATCTATCTTGGATTTTGTTTCAGCGTTGCCAATATCGACCTGATACCATGTGCTCTTTTAGATAAAAAGAAAAGACCATCACTCACAAATTGCGCTGTTGGGCGAATTGTTTAAGCTAAAATCTGTGACGCTTTTCAAAAATAAATCTAAACTTATGGAAATTTAGTTTTTCAGTTTTTTATGCTTTGAGAATCGAAGCCGTCATGTTTTCTTATTGCAGGATCAAAACCCGGCACTTCTCCCCTTTTTAATGTTGCATCATCTGCACCGGCTAGGAAGACTGTCGCCGATGATTTCCTCAATTCTGACAATGATAAAAATGACTATGACTGGTAAGATAGGATTATCTCGTTTAATTTGAATTCAACATTTGTTTTTAGTTCTAAACTTCTTCACCTCTTATTCAAATCTTGGAATAGCCTTTACTAGCATAAGAAAATTTCGGACATACAAGCTAACCGCATCATATATTTTGGGAGAAAATTCTTATATTATAGAAGACAATGGGATGTAATAATTGCATTCATATCGAATATTTCTGGATTTAGGATAAGCAAGAGTTATTTGGAAATATGCTGTAATTGTTTGAAAATATTTAGAAAATTTTTACAACAAAGTAATGTTCATAAACAACCTGTAAAATAATATGAATACAAAGACAATAAATTATTTGTAATAATTGTGATGTTACTAAAGTTAAAGTTTTATTGAAATATGTGAGTAGATTTATAAGAGATATGGAGATTTAACAATTAAATGCTGGCATTTGGTTAGAAATAGTGATGTGTAGTTTAAGAAGTCTATACATTTTTGTTATCATCAAACTATTACTGCTTTGCAAGTCTTCCTTTCATTAGATTGCATGTCCAAGGCCATTTTTGACTGGTTCTGATTCTGTTAATACTTTCACTGTTTTACAACTCTGGAATCTGCATTGCTTCTGACATTTAATTTAGATCCTTCTGTTGCAACTCTATTAGTTTCTTAAGCAATAACTTCTTGACTGTTTGAGAAAATATGGAGAAGGAAGAGGGAAGGTAAACAAAAAAGATAAGTCATAGCATGCATATATCTTCCCTGCTCCCTGCTTTTCAAGAAAGGCAAATGGTATATATCCAATGTTTGGACTATACGCAAGTTCAATTGGGATAAAATTAAGGCTGATCACTCAATAAATTAAGTTCATTGTAAAAGAATCCATGTAAGAGGTCACCTAGAAAGGGTTAATACCTAATGGCAATTGACTTTCAGATAAATCTCCCATGACTAATATAGGTGTTGATGTCAACTTGCATCCAGCTCTCTTTTCACCTGTTGAGCTTGTAGCAATACAATTACTTGCACTGGGACATGGATTTCTAGTTAAGTGCACGGCAAAGAAATTTCTTTATGTCTTATTTATTAATCAGTAGTGAATTTGAACTTTTCCAGACCACTTTCTTGGTGTATTTTTTGACTGATAAGTGATTTAATAGTTTATTTTGTTTTTATTCAGGCTATTAACTCCTCCTGGTACTCCCCTTTTTCCTTCACTGGAGATGGAAGCACAAAAAACTGTTATGAGTCAGATTGAAACTCCCAAAGCTCGTCCGACTTCACTAAAATCTAGAGTAAGATTGATAGTAATTTTTTTTTGTCATGTAAAATTCTGTTCTTTGTAGTCGTTTTATGGCAGTAGCGTGCAGGTGGGTAGTTGATAGGCATTTGGATTTATATTTCTTTATGATGGAAAATAGACCTGTGAATTTAGAATTTACCTAAACAGTTACAAAATGAAAATTGAAGGTCTTTTTACTGTAATTAGAACTTTCTCTTATGTCATTTTGAGGCCTTTAATTGCATGTACCGGATGATATTAATATGCAGTTTGATAGTAGGTAGAATTTTAATTATTTATTTTCCTCAACTTGAAATATCCTGTTAAGGTCATAAGCTCATGATCTTCTGTTATTTGTTTAATGTTAATTATAGCTAGCAAATCCTCAGCCGGAGCCTGCTGCCAGGAGCAACCTAATATCTAGACAGTCAGTTTCTTCACCTGGATTGAACAATTCCAGTATAGGGATTCGCAGGCCCTCATCATCTGGGGGTCTGGGATCAAGACCTGCAACACCAACTGGACGCCCTACATTAAACCCAGCATCTAAATCCACATCGACAACTGCATCTAAATCAACAATTACTGCAGCATCTAAGCCTACTTCGACTATGTCTAAGTCTTCAAGGTCTTCTACACCTACTTCTCGGGTTATGTTGCCTTCAACTAAACCCACAGTTCCTGCAAGGTCTTCTACACCTACTTCTCGGGCTACAGTACCTTCATCCAAGGCCACGGTTCCAGCAAGGTCTTCTACGCCCACTTCTCGGGCTGCTTCTAGGTCTTCAACACCAACCTCTAGACCCACCTTACCTGCATCTAGGCCCACATCAAGAGCAACAACTCCAACTCGCAGGCCTGCCATGCTGTCAACTGCAACTAATCCATCTGCTCCTCCAGTTAAGTCTCCCTCTAACTTGGTTGCAAAGTTGGGATCTGCAACAGCAAGAAATCCAGTGCCACCACGTGCTAGCTCTCCAACAGTGAAACCCAGACCATGGAACCCTTCTGAGATGCCCGGTTTCTCTCTTGAAGCCCCACCAAACTTGAGGACTACTCTTCCTGACAGGCCACTTTCAGCCACTAGAGGCAGGCCTGGAGCACCTAGTGCTCGTTCTGCTTCTGTTGAGCCTGTCCCTAGTGGGAGGGTTCGAAGGCAATCATGTTCTCCCTCAAGAGGGCGGCCCCCTAATGGCATTATCCATAACAGTGGAAGCTCTGTTCCTGCTGTCAGTCGTGCACATGCTAAAGCTAATGAAAATGTGAGCCCAGTTTTGATGGGAACCAAGATGGTTGAAAGAGTAATAAATATGAGGAAATTGGTCCCGCCAAAACAAGATGATAAGCATTCTCCTCGTAGCAACTTATCCGGAAGTCTTCATCCCCTGACAGCTCAGGCTTTGGAAGAACACTCTCAAAGAAATCTTTGGATATGGCTATAAGGCATATGGTATGTTATCATATATTTTTCTCTATTTTATCTTTCTCACGTGTGGTTATCTCTCTCTTTTGCATAGTCCATGCACAGTGTTAATTCTAAGATCACATGTTCAAAAGATTTGTATTCCGTTTTCTGTTATTATTTTTTTGTACTTTCAGAAACAAAACAAAAATGAAAATCTTGGAAATTCCATTGTTTCCATATTGTTTCTTTTTGGGCAATAAAATTTTTTTGAGAATTTTGAAAACAATTTCTTTTTGTTTTCCAAAAATTGGCCTATTTTCTGAATTTTCCAGAAACAGTTTTTGAAAAACAATATTTACAGATGGGTTTTCTGTTTCCTAAAACAGAACTGTTTTAAAAACAAATTCAAACAAGCCCTGTTTTCAAGTAGTGGTGTTGAATGCTATTGCTATTTCACGCACTTGTCTACTAAAGATCATACGAAGATACAAGTTTATTGAGCTAAACAAGTTATTTGTCCTCCACTCCTTTGTTGACTGTTCATGCTCTTGGGCAGGATATAAGGCGGAGCATTCCAGGTAAGTTGCGACCATTAATGACAAATATACCTGCATCCTCAATGTATAGTGTGAGATCGGGTTCAGGGCCTCCTCGCAGCAGGACAGTTAGTGTTTCAGATTCCCCTCTTGCAACAAGCAGTAATGCCAGTTCTGAAGTGAGCGTCAATAACAATGGCCTATGTGTTGATGGAAGTGAAGCAGAAGATGAAATCAGCAGTGACAAAGGTGCTCGATCTCCTGCAAGCATAAGGGGTAGGTGATGTTCAGAACAACCAACTACCATTGAGAGCATAGAAGCCCTTCGTCCTATTGCATTGCACGCATTTCTTGTCAGCTTTCAAAATTTGTTTGGAGTCTCCATGAGAGTGAAAGCTAGAAGATATTTGATTACTATTGGAGAAGAACTGATTGGTGACTTGGCTTTTTAATGATCTGTGTAAAGTTAAATGGTTGATGAGCTAGGTTCATGCCATCCAATGCTGTTGTATTATTCAAAACCCAAATGTTGGAACAACGTATATTGCTCTAGAATGTTGACCTCTTCTTGTTAACTTAAACTGGTACTGAAAATTATACTCTCAACTAATGTTGCTAATTTCTCTTGGGATTCCAAATTTTCCTGCTGATTAAATTTAAGAATTGCCGTACTCTTATTTTTCATTTCTTTTTTCTTGGGGGAGAGTGCGTGGGCACCTGGATATTTTGAATGCAGAAGACCAAACCATGCAAATGAGGTGTTTTCATGGGGAAACACTGGAAGTTCAGATATTTGTATTGTTGGCACAAAACTATATATAGTCTGTAAGAGCTACTTCATTTCAGAAAGTACTGAAAAATAATGATATTTAAGTAAGTGTTGAAAATTAGCAGAAGTTAATAAATAAATGTTTGTTTTCTTGTTGACGTTGTCATCTTCTTCAAACAATTTTAGCAGCGAAAATCAAATGGAATGGAAAGGAAAGTAAAGACCAAAAAAAAATTCTATGGTTTTCATTTTTGTTTGTTACGTTGAGTTCCCCTTTCCTTCTCAAGTATCATTTGCTCTTTAACAAGAAGGGTTAAAAAAAAAAAAAAACGCAAGGTATAAGAATAGGCTCATTTCATTTGCTCAAAGGACAAAAGGGGGGGGGGTATAAAGAGTAGATGCATCTGTTTTTGAAAATTTAAATAAGAAAGATAGTATTAGAAGTCGGGATGTGAGATAACCCGTCTCACTTTTACCCCAGGCTGAGGGGTTCTGAACCTATTTGCCTAGTCTCTCCATAAACAAGGAGTAATGAGATTGGTAGAAAGGCTTGCAACTCAAAATCCAGGAAGCTGAATTTCACTAGCTGATTAGCCGACTGTAAAAGTTCAAATTTTCGAATAAGATCCCTGGCCCCAAAAGCTCTGCACTGCAAATATAACACCACCTTTTAAATGCAGCAGAATAATAAAATTAAAAGAGAACCAACTTTGCCGTAACAGGCTTTAAACGGTAATAGACATAAAAGAAAAAGAAAAGCGAAAGTGCTTATACTCCAATAATCAGCCAAGAGTCAAAATGCAGTATCATCAGAATTCAAGGTTTAATAGTCTGGAAAGCCATGTTTCCATTTTCTAAATACACATACAGGAACATACTGTATATGAATCACCAAATATTTAACATACAAAAGCTAGTCATAAAGGCTATGACAAAACTATCAAGCAACGGCTACAGCCTCAACAGGGGTTGCTGTGGCTGCAGCCTTTGGTGGAGCAGAGGCGCCGGCAGCAGTATCAGAACCAGTTTTGGCATCCTTTGTGGGTGGTGGAGGAGGTGGGGAATGCTTCAGGTGTGCAGGGGTGTTGTGCTTAAGCTTTAAGAGTATGTGCCTCATCCTCGAGAGCTCAGTTGGCTTCCCAGGCTTTGGTCCTTGCATCACAGTGATACCTGGCTTCTTCTCTTGTTCTTTCTTTCCTCTCTTCTTTTCTATTGCCGGTACTTCCTTAGGAATCAGCTCTGCAATTGACTTCCAATAGTCCTTATCTGCCTCAGCGTGGAACTTCTCATGGCTGGCAAGGAACAACTGTAAAATGCGAGACATTGTTGCTTTCTGAGTCAGGACATAAACATAATTTTGGACTAAGAAATTTGATTACTATTCAGGTCCTAGAAACCCCATTCTCTCTCTATTGACCAGGTAAACTTGAGCAGAATGCTGAATCTTCAAATTTTCTCAACTATTACATTCAGTTCATGTACAATGATAATCCCAGATTGAAAATTTTGCAACCAGGTGAACAAATTTATCATGACTTTACTAGTGATAGGTGTATGTATATTTATACATATCTAAGTTGGGGATAATATGCATGAATTCATTTGTCAGTTTTAGTACCAAAACCTAACAAGTTATACCTTCTTCTGGAAGCATTTTTGTTTTTCTAGATGCAAAGGAAACTTGCATCATTGACTAAGAGAACTCAGCCAGTCAAAATAACCTATGAAGCAAGAAATGGATGCCAGTGTTGGCAATATAGATATCTTGCTTTGCAATATTTACCGGTGAATATCGATAGAAGACCGGTTTGCTTGTTACCAACATATGCTATCTTAGTACTATACATTCCTAAATAGCATCAAAATCCAACAAAAACACCTTTTCTTACTAATTGAGCTAAGTGCATGTCTATTCAACAGCAAACTGCCAAACTGATAAAGAAGGGCATATATCAAGTCTTTCTCATTATTATTCATGATTTGACAGTTCTTACTAGGGGTATTCAAGAAACTGAACCAAACCACACAAACCAAATCAAATAGCAGTTTAATTTGGAAAGAGATTTTTTTATACAATTTAGTTTATGGTTTGACCATTAAATATACTGTATAAACCAAACAAACCACATAATTTATATAGATACAAAATTAAGAACCCCATCTTTATATATATAGTTTATCTTTACTACTTGACCACATACTTCTTTCTCTTCTTGTCTGGTAACTTGTTATTTTTCTTCCTGGAGAGATGATTTCCATTAATATGAATTCAAATTTTATTATACTGTATAAATATATTTACTGCATAACATGTAACTACGGTGGTTAATTGATAAATAATAAATTAGTTGAATTAAACAAGCTGAAGAAATTTTTTGGATGTCCAATTTTTTAGGAAAACTCTATGTAAATTTTTGTAAAGTAGTGAATCTAATCCATTTTGTTTTTGCAAATCAAAAACCATATTTTGAAATCGAACGAAATTGTTGATCATGCTTTTATTTTGATTTCTTAAAATCACAAACCATGAAATATGGTTTGATTTGTACTTGAGCCTTAAACTGAACCAAACCGCACCCTGAACACCCCTAGCTGTTACCATGCCATCTACATCACCAAATTCTCAAGAATATTGATTCAATCAAGTCCACCAGTTTATGTTGTTTGTTTTCTGCAGCTTTTGCTGCTACTTGCCCCAAACCATTTTATTTCTCTTTGAAAAAAAACTTCCTCTTCAATCTCCATGATTTTTCTTTCCTAAATTATGAAACAATATCTATAAATTCCCCTATATCCTCCACCCATATAAAGAAGGCATAGGAATATGCATAAGCCCTCACTGTTAGTTCCATCTCTTCTGAAAGATTTTCATAATCCCAATTGAGTATCCATCTAAGAAAACAACCAATGCAAATACTGTAAACTCAGAGAAAAGAAAGAATTATGTTACAGATACTTAAGCTAAGGGCTGCAAACTTAAACTAAAGGATTTTGCCTCCTTTAGCACTTCTGTCCAGCATACACATTGATAATAACAGAAAAACATAATACAAAGTTAAGTTTCAAGGTCATGAATAGTTGTTGCTGTGAAATTAAAATATTGCAGCACCCAATAGAATAGTAACACATTCACACAATAGAAGAAAAATTTAAGCATGAACGGCAGTTTTAAGAAAATATATCTAAACAAACATACACAATTACAAATAATGCAGAAGAAAAAAGGAACTGCATTCTCACCTTCTCCTTTTCCCTATTAGTGGTTTTGTTGGTTTCACAGCTGAGCTTTCTTCTCCTGTAAAAGTCGACCTTATACTCCTCTGCTTCAGCAATAATTTGGGTTAACATTTCTTTTTCTTTCTTCTCTTTCTCCTCAAGTCTTATGGCATTCTGCCTGAAAATTTAATCAGAAAAACACATACAATTCTCAAGAATCTGCAAACATACCTTTTGTTTTAGCTAAGTTTTACAGTTAAAAGAAACCTTCCAATTTCCAAGTGGCAGGTTAAGATAATAAAAAAAAGAAAATTCTGCTAGCACTCCAAGCAGTTTCCTCCCCCTCCTCAAGCAGACGAAAAAGACGAGAAAAGGAAATAGAGAATCAAATATAGTCCTCTCGATATTCGATAATGCAAACAATGAACAACCAAAATATCAGAAAGATCAACTGAGTAAAAGTGCTTGATCCTAAAACATCTCCCAAACTTTGAGTAGTTCGGAAAACGCTTAGTACAACTGAGTTGAGTTCAGCAGAGACGAATTTCTCGATTCAAAGTACTTAATTAACTATTGAAACAAAGCAATAGAACTCCAAAGATTCTTCCAAAACCACAGTACAACTAATTTGTCAGTTCAAACAACATGATTGAACGAAAAGCAAACGGAAGCCAACTTATATCCAACAGATCATTTTCTACCACTTGCCAATACTTTCAACCGGAAAAATAAATTCAACAGAAAGGCCTAACCTCCTCCATTCTCTAAGAGCAGCGCCCTCCTCGGGCCCCATCTCAGCCGGAGGCGACAGCATCGGCCCGTTCGAGGCCACATAGCCATCGTCGAACACCTTTCCGTTTGATTCTGGCGACAACGACGAGAATTCCGCTGGATCGGCCGATAACCCACCTCCGGAGGCGTAGATCGGCGGCGGAGATGGGTTCTCTGGGATCGGCTGG